ATATTAATATTATATAATATAATTATATAAATATACAATTTTCTTTATTTTGCTCTTATTATACCCGTCCCTGTTTGTCATTGTGAAACATCTTAAATCAATGGACTGTTCCCATCAAGTGAAAAACTCTTCACCTCCAAGGGTCAGAATTTTGGCAACACAATTCTCTTGGCTCTTTTCTTTTTAAGAGACGTGACCTTTGCACTGGAAGGAAAAAGTTGCAAGTGGTGTCTTGTAAATGTCAAATAGATGTAGATTTTCTTTCCGTTTTCAGGTCATTTTGGAAATAATCTTTATTCCAGTGGACACCTTCAAGTTCCTGCACTTTTGTTCTTGTCCTGAGACAGGGTGAGTCCTGCAGAGCAGCTGTGACACCTGCTTGTTCTCTGTTTAGGTGAAATACAAGGAGAACTTTGCCAAAGAGATGGGTAAAAAGCCAAAATATGATTTGAAGGAGGCCAAAATCTACAAGACCCTGAAGGACGCCCACAACATGGCCAGTGAGGTAGGTTCTCTTTCGCTTTTCCTGGAAGGAAATCCCATCCTGCATTCCCAAATCCCTCCTTTGTGCAGCTGGGACCTCCCCCAGGCCAGGCTGGACCAGCAGGGCCCTGTCCTGATGGCTGTGACCCTTACTCCCTGCAGGTGAAGTACAAGGCAGACCTGAAGAAGCTGCACAAGCCCGTCACGGACATGAAGGAGTCGCTGCTGATGAACCATGTGCTGAGCACGAGCCAGCTCGCCAGTGCTGTAAGTTCTGGGTGATCCCACAGCTCTCAGGAGTGGGAATTCCCTTGGGAATTCTCTGCTAACTCCTCCTCTAACAGCTGATCCCCGTGGTACTTCCGTGGGCATCACCTGGTAGTGATCTCTTCCTCGTGTTTCCCGACGGTTCCCCCTTAACCCGCGGCTTCCCCGCGTTTGTGCTCTGGGAAGGGAAATCTTCACCACCTCTACCACTGCTGATGTGTTAAACACTGATCATTTCTGCTGGATTGGTTCTTGGTCCCATTTTAACTGATTGCAGAATTGCTAATGTTTTAAATCCTCTGATAATTTTTGCTGGATTGGTTCTTGATCCCATTTTTAACTGATTGCACTACACTAACAAATACCTTTTTTTAAAATTGTTTTTTTCCTTTTTTCTTTGCTGATTATTATGTTTAATTTTTTAATTTTTACCTGTTTTTGTTTTTTTCTTTTTTTTTTTTTTTTACTTTGTGTTTGTTTAACGCTCCCCTATTTTAAATCCACATAATTATGCCTAACAAAATAATTGATAATGAGAAAAGGCAAAACCTTTCTTACCTGATACAGCCTTCTCATTACCCACTGTGTTTTCTCTCTTTCTTCTTTTAATCCTGGTTTGGACAAAACCTTTGTTGCAGTCCAAATGACCATTAAAAAAATAACTATTCCCCCACATCTTTAACTCCCAATATCAATTCTAAACTTCTTGGATTTTGTTTTACTTCTTGCATTTCTAATTTCTCTCTGATGTTCCCTTGAGATGTTGCTTTGATTGGACCTAAGAAGTAAATTTGCTGAGGGATTTTTTTTTTTTGGATTGAGATGATTTTTGACACCTTCCCTTCAGTACCAGTACAAGAAGCAATATGAGAAGAGTAAGGGTCACTACCATGTGGTGCCAGATAATCTTGAACAGGTTCATCTCAGGGAGGCCTCAGAACTCCAGAGCCACGTAAGTCGGATGTGTTTGTCGTTATCTCAACTCACTGAGCACCAAATCCCATCAAAATCCTCCCAGTGAATCCTCCAGGCTGGGACATTCCCTGTGCCTCTCTGCCCCACCAGCCCTGCACACATGGGGAACAATCCAGGGAGCAAAAGCTGCACATTTCCAAGTTCAGAACACGTAAAATACACAGATAAAATCTCTGTGTGATTCCTCCATTCCAGAGCCAGTCCCTGTTGCTCACCTCTGCTGTACATGGATCTTTTTACACTGGTAATACATTGATATAATAATCATTATCATCATTATTATTATCATTATAATTATTATTATTATTATTATTGATCAGGGGCATTTATCCCTGGAAAAAAAAGGGACCTGGAAACTGAAGGAATGAGGGCTGTTGCTGACAGTGGATTTCTAACTTCTTCATCCATTCCATGATCCAAAGGAGAGCTCTGCTGTCCTTTCCTGCATCCAAAAGGGCTTTAACCAAAACTGTAAACATGCCTGGAGGTTTTCCCTCTGGAATAAAACACTGGATCCCTCCAGAGAAATTCATAGTCTGATCTGGTCTCTGATCCTCTCTGTTCCAAGCATTTATTGGCTGTAAAGCAAGAGAGGAATTACTGCAAGGACAGCAAGGGCCACAGCTGATTGTCCTGGTGCTTGGCACAGAATTCCAGAATGGTTTGGGAACATTTAGGATTATCCAGACACACCCCTGCCTTGGACAGGGACACCTCCCACTATCCCAGACTGTCCCAGCCTGGCCTCGGACACTCCCAGGGATGTTCAAGGCATGGGAAGGCAATAAAGGTCACACAGCAAAGGACCATAAGGAAATGGTTGTTAATCAGGTTGTAATGAATTTTTAAGTCAGTGCTTGTTGCTCCAGGTTGGGATCAGGCTCTGACTTGGCCACAGCAGCCCCTCCCTGAGCACTCTGAGAATCTGCATTACAGAGCTTGCAGCAGCAATCATCTTCAGGGACATTTTGCTTCCTGGACACCAAATTTTACATTTGCTGATCAATAACACAGATTGCAGGAAGGCAAACTGCAGCAGACATTCAATTTTTATCACAGAGCTGTTGATAGTAGCCACATGGTTGGGCCTTTGATTATTTAGGAGGGTGACTCTGTCTTTTCTTCTCAGGTGAAATACAGAGAAAAGTATGAGAAGGAAAAAGGAAAGCCCATGTTGGACTTTGAAACTCCCACATACCTGACTGCAAAGGAGTCTCAGCTCATGCAGAGCGAGGTAAATTCAATACTAATAGGCTGAAATCTTTATTTTTATTTTTTTTTTAATTAAAATTAGGGATTTAACAGGCAATTCTACTTGCACCTTGTGCACGCCGACAGACTGAGAAATTATAGTTATTTCACATTTCTTTATGATGGTTGTTAAATGCTGCACTGAACATTAATGACACTTTCCTGTCATGAAATTAATTTATCTCTAATTTTTTTTTTATTGGTAAATGAAGCTTGAACAAGTCTTTGAGTAAGAAATGTGGTACAAAATTAATTTAGCTTTTCCAACACAGCACAGTGTTTGTGTGTCATCACAGGACACCAAAAGTGCTCTGACCCTTTTTTTTTCCACCTCAAAACTCCATTTTTGAGAAACTCTTTTATTCCCTGTGTGTTTCTGCTGTCACAGGTTCTCTCCTGACCTGTCATTTTCTTTTCTTGAGCAGTTTTTTTTGTGTTTATTTGGAGTTTATTCCTGTTCTGGCCCAGATGGAGGCTGCAAAGCAGCTGTGTAAGTCCCTGTGGTACCTTTGAATGCTTTCCCTGCATAGAAAAATGAGTAGAAAAATAAAAAAATGAAGGCAGGATCAGATCCTATTTCCATAGAAAGCGATGACAGGATTTAGGAACCCATTTAACACCCACTGTACCAGTGACATTGACCCCCTCCCATCTCTGCACATAATGAAAATACTGTAATAAATATTTGCTGTTTTGCCTTTTTTTTTCCCTTCTTCTTCTTCTTCTTGCTCTCATTAGAAAGAATATAAGAAGGACTTTGAAGAGTCCATGAAGGGCAGGAACCTCACTGGTCTGGAGGTCACACCATCCCTCTTACATGTCAAATACGCCACCAAAATAGCGAGCGAGGTACCAGCTCCTCTGGGCTTCTTTCCTCTGCCTCCTGCAGCACTTCCAGCACTCCCAGTTCTTCTTCCCCACGCTCCTGCCCACCCACACTGAGCATGTTTACACCCATTTTGTGCTAATGGACATTTCTTCCTTGTCCTTTAACCATATTCCCATTTACTGCCCCTCTCTGACTTCCCTCAGCCTAACTGGTCCATGCGTGTGTGCCTTGGCAATTTATCTTCCACAGTAATCCCTATCTTTTCTTGGAGTAGTTCTTCCATAACCCTCTACAATATTCTTTCTTGTTTTCCAAATTTCCTTTTTTTTGGTTGTTTTTTCTTTTCTTTTGGAGCTTTCAGAATTCTTTTTTCTTTCATTTTCTTAATTTTTTTTTTTTTTTTTTTTTTTTTTTTTTGCAACAAAGCTGGTAGAGTGTCAAACTCCCTTTGGATTGGCTTTGTAGTGTTTTTCCTTCTCCTTCTCCTGCAGAAAGAGTACAGGAAGGATCTGGAGGAAGGAGTCAAAGGGAAAGGACTGACAGCCTTGGAGGAGACTCCAGACATGCTGAGAGCCAAGAATGCCACCCAAATCCTGAACGAGGTATGGAAGAGCTGCTTGGAAAACACCTGAGCAGATGGAACAGCCTCCAACACCTGGGCAGGGACACCTTGCACCACGCCAGGGTGATCCAGCCTGCCCTTGGACACCTCCAGGGATCCAGGGGCACCCACAGCTTCTCTGGGAAATCCATCCCAGCCAGGAATTCCTTCCCAATATTCCATCTCTCCCTGCCCTTCGATTGGTGTGAGCTTCATCATTCCTAGAAACTCTTGAGTAGAGGGCAGGAAAGAGCATGGATGAGGGAATAAGGATCAAAGTGGAGTTTTAAGTGAGCTCTTTCCTGGGCAGTCACTGTCAGGAATTCAGATGGGAAATGGGAGCTGGGATCAGCAGCCACTCAAGGGGCTTGTTAATTAATTAATCAAAGGGCTAAACCAAGATTTAAGTCATGAAGCACAAACTGAAATAATCTGAAATTATATAATTTGTGTGCATAATTTGAGTTGATATTAGAGGTACTCCTGGCTTGGGGCTGGCACTGTTCCTGGTTTGGGATGTGCACTATTCCTGGTTTGGGATGTGCACTATTCCTGGTTTGGGATGTGCACTATTCCTGGTTTGGGATGTGCACTATTCCTGGTTTGGGATGTGCACTATTCCTGCTTTGGGATTGATGATATTCCTGATTGGGATTGGTGATATTCCTGGTTTGGGACTGGCGCTGTTCCTGGTTTGGGATGGGCACTATTCCTGGCTGGGCTTGGCAATATTCCTGGTTGGGATTGGTGCTGTTCCTGTTTGAGATGGATGTTATTCCTGGTTGGGATGGGCACTATTCCTGGTTAGGATTGGCATTATTCCTGGTTGGAACAGGCTCTATTCCTGGCTGGGCTTGGCAATATTACTGGTTGGGATGGGCGCTATTCCTGGTTGGGATGGGTGTTATTCCTGGTTTGGGATGGGTGCTATTCCTGGTCTGTGGCTGTGAATCTGGAGCTGCTGCACCCTTTTCCATGCCCCATCCCTTTGTTCCCCTGCAGAAGGAGTACAAGAAAGCCTTGGAGCTGGAGATCCGCGGGAAGGGCCTGACCGAGCTGGCGCTGGAGACGCCGGATTTCGTCAGGGCCAAGAACGCCACCGACATCGCCAGCCAGGTCTGTGGCACCCCCGCCTCCCCGAGCTCTCTTTAAGGGAAAATTTGGATTTTTCTGGTTAAATCCAGTGTGAGTTGTTGTGCAGAGATGATCCAGGCCCCTAAACGTGAGCTTTGCCCGACAGATCAAATACAAACAATTGGCAGAAATGGAGAAAGCCAACTACACCAGTGTTGTTGATACTCCAGAGATTATTCATGCCCAGCAGGTCAAGAACCTTTCCAGCCAGGTATCTTGAGTGAAGCAATTAATCCTGCTCATGTGGGAACTCCAGGAAATACTAATTAAACACCCAAATAACCACCTCTCACAACCTTCAGGAGGCACCAGGGAACAAATCTTTCCAGAGCTCTGGAATTCTACGGCAATAATCAAATTAATTTCACTGCTGTGTCGGGTGACACAATAATTTCTCTTGCTTTGCAAAGCTAATTCTTTTTTAAGCAGATTCTTCTTCACTTTCTACTCCTCAATAACCTGCTGTCTAAAATAAATCTTGCACAGAGGCATAATCTCAGTTTCTATCAGACAGAGAACTCACATCTCCACAAAGATGGGCACTTCTCAACAACAAATAACTCCAGTTTGTTTCTTGCTGCTTTTGTGTTTTCTGTTTTAATCCTTTTGGGGTTTTCCATCAGAAAAAATACAAGGAAGATGCAGAGAAGAACATGCCCTACTACGTTCCTGTGGCTGACACACCAGAAATGCAGCGGGTCCGAGAGAATCAGAAGAACTTTAGCATGGTAAGTCCAGAAATTAATAAAAAAACCCCAACATTTTTCTCATCTTTGAAGAAAATCGTGAGAGAATTTGTACAGCATAAAATTAACATTGGACATTTTCCCTTTCCACAGCTTCAGTATCAGTCAGACCTCCAGAGCAGTAAAGGAAAAGTCACAGTGGTTCAGGACACCCCAGAAATCCTGAGGGTGAAGGAGAACCAGAAGAATTTCAGCTCGGTATGGTCACCTCTGTCTTCACTCCTCAGCCTAAAAAGTAGAGTTTAATATCTTTAATAAAATCACAATTTTTTGGTGCTTCTGCTTACAGGTACAGTAGATTTAGCTGGGCTTTGTAAAGTGTTTTTCCTGCTGTTTTTGTGGGGTGATTGCCCTCTGTCACAGGCACAGCTGTGATAAACAATCCCTCAGTAAATGAATATAATTATTATCCCTTTCCTCTGTGCTGTTCCCCTGTCCTGCTGCCCCTCGTGCTCTGTGTGCCTGAGTTGTTGCCCAGTTCCTGTTGCCATCAAGTGCCTCAAGTCTCCTGTGGCATTTTGCCTCCAGCACCATGAACAAAGTGGAAAATATTTGTATAAATCAAATTAGAGCAAATTATGATCTTCAATCCTAAAATTGGCCCACAAATGTTTTGATTATGGAATTATGGAATGGGTGGAAGGGACCTAAATCTCATCTTCTTCCATCCTGCCATGGGCAGGGACTCCTTCCACTAGCCCAGGAATATTCTACTGAAATACATTTTATAATTTGATTTATTGTATAACTTATCTTCTACTTAAAAAAGCATTAAATATAAAAAATCAGCTCTTTTTTTCCCCCAAATGGTGCTCACTTTGGACACTGTCAGGGAGAGGCAGCCACCAGAGTGGATCCTCTGAGTTTTCAGCTGCTCTGTTGTGCCCAAATTCAGTGTCTGGGAGCAAGAACGTTGTGTTTCGGATGCTTAACCTTGTTGTCTTCATTCTAAACGTTAAGATTTTGTATAAAGAAGATATTGGAACTGGAACCACAATTGAAAAGACCCCAGAGATGCAGAGAGTTAAACGAACCCAGGATAATATCAGCTCGGTATACAAGAATTGATTTTTAATACTCACTCTACCGCTAATTCAATTTGAAATAATCTCTCTTTTTGTATCTTTTTCCTTTCTTTACATCCTGCTAACAGTGGTTTGGCAATAACCCAAGTTAAGGGTGACTTTCTCAAAGTTTTTTCCCATCCTTGTTACTTTAACAGTAACCCCTCTAATGATTAACATTCCATTTCTTACTCACAACCCATTCCTAAACCACAAAAGCTCTTGCTGTCAATTTGATCTCATCCCAGATAGAGTTTGGACAGAAAAAAAAAGAAATATTTAGGTGGGAAGGGATGTGTTGAAATCATCTATTCCAACCCTGTGGCTCAGCTTTAGGATGAGTTGAGTTTGGAGTATCCCACAGGATGAAGATTCCACAACCTGCTTGAGGGTGGGACCATCTCCCAGGAAAATCTGTTTTGCCCTGCTCAGGCTGAATTTTCTGGTGGTGATTTTTTTGATTTGTTTTGTCCTGGCAAACTTGGATGTTATCTGAAAGGTCACGGGAGTCTAAAATTGGAATAATTTTACCTGTTAATTTTATTTCAAAGCTCCTGAAACCTCCTCCATGCTCTTTTTGAATGGTGGTGTCACTTAGTGTCCTGCACTAACACAGCAGCCAGTTTGTTCATGCAGAATGTGTTAAAAATGTTCTTTTTAACATTTTTAAGGCTTTTTTTGTTGTTAGCAAAGCAGAAATGCAATGGCACCGTCACTGCTGGAACGCTGTGTGATGATTCTCACCTTGGTTAAATAGGAGGGATTCTTAAACATCCCAAATCCTCCTTGGCTTGCTGGAAAGGCCAAACAGCATCAGGTTTAAAGGAATTTATTTGGTTTTATGAAACCCTTTCAGTGCCATTCCCAGTGACTCAACAGCTGAATTGCCTTGGCGCAGATTCCTTGGGAAGGCGAGGGGAAGGTGGTGAAGTCCTTCAAACTTTCCACGAGATCAGGATAAAACTCTTTATGAACCTTGGGAATCTTTCCTGTAAATGCTCTTCCTTTCCCTGATTCCTGGGTCTCTGCAGGTGAAGTACAAGGAGAGCATTGGCAAAGGGACTCCCATTCCCGACCTGCCGGAGGTGAAGCGCGTCAAGGAGACCCAGAAGCACATCAGCTCGGTAATGTCCCCGTTCCCTGCCCATCAGCTGGGTCATTCCCTGCTCCCTGCACCCTCCAGGGCCCTGCTCCAGCCTCCTCCCGTTGGGAAAGCTCCAGCTCTCCCAGATCCCTGCAGCCAGCAGCAGGAAATTGAAATTACCTGAGTTTTACAGGGATTATCCCAATCAGTCGTCGCCTGTGTTTCCTCTGTGGCCTTTTCTGAGCTAGGAACAAAAATTACCCAGGTTGTGTGTCAAAGTTTGACTGGGAAAAAAGGGATCAGGAAGACAGAACTTTGAGGGGAGTAAAACCCAATTGGAGCCTTTTTGTATGACAATTATAAAGGAAAACAAAACTTTCCCAAATCCAGTCAAGTGTAAATTTCACAGCTCACTTGTGGACAGCTGAGTTGTTTTTCCAAATGATTTCCTCATTTTTTCTAATCTTCACCACAAGTTGTTTTCCCTCTCTGTAACTGATTTATTTGTTTCAATGACACCAAGAAGGGAATTTATTTTTTTTTTTATGTTTTGGTGCAAGTTTTGTTTTGGCACAAGGATTTTCCTGCTTGCAAGAAGAGCTGTGAGTGCACTTGTGGATGTTTATTCCACAAACATCTCCTTTCATGGGAAATACATTTTTTAAAAATCAAATAACTGCAGGTTAAGTTAAACCTCATAACGTGAGTGGTGGTACTCAGTTGGTTTTGCTTCCTAGAGTTTTAACCCAAAGTAAAATAGTGGTGCAAACAAACAGAAGTGAAAATGAATTAAGTCCACAATGAAATCTTTGAACAATTCCAGAAAAGGTTAAACTGTTTATTAATCCCATAAAGAAATGCTGACTGCCTGAAAAGTAATTCTATCATATTTCCTAAACTAAGATGAAAAGTACAATATCCCTCTCAGGGTAGGCTCGGCAGAATATTTTAATTTGTGTCCTTTAAATGAGGACACACTGAAGGGAAATCACTCTGAGCTGCTGACTGTGCCGATAAAGATCCTGAGGGATGCAAACTGTGGTTTTATTTCTGTTTAATAAATAATTTTTGGGTTTGTAATCCCAGGGAAGAGGTGAGGGATGTCCCCAGGGCTGGTCTGACCCTGCTGGTGCTTGTGTCCCACAGGTGTTGTACAAGGAGGAGCTGGGCACAGGCACCCCCACGCCCGTGACCCCAGAAATGGAGCGAGCCAAACGCAACCAGGAGCAGATTAGCTCGGTATTTGCAGCCTGCAGGAGTTATAACAACGGGATGTTGTTATAATCCTGTGCTCCTAACACCCTAACCTTGTTCTTCCTCAGGGGTTTAGTCCTGGCTGTGCCCTGGCAGGGTTTTAACTCGTTGATCTTCCACTGTTTGTGCTTTTGGGGGGATTTACACCTTCACGTGCTTTTCTTCTAAGAACAAACCTGCCTGAAAATAATCCTGGCATTTCCTGAGCTAAACTGGGCAGCAGAACATCCCTGTGGAGTTGTGGTGTTTCTCCCCACGTTTGTTTCACCCTGAGCCTTCATCTCCTCTCTGCAGTGACCCATTCACAGAATAATCCCCCACAGCCTCTTCCTTAATCCTTGCCTCTGGAACGAGCGTGCGATGAATCCCAAGCGATCCTAACTCTAAACACAATCCCATAACGGTGGGATTTGGTGGCTCTGGCCTGTGCTGAGCGAGGTTTTTGTGGCACTGCTGTTGTCCCTCACAGGTGTTGTACAAGGAGGGTTTAGGGGCTGGCACTGCCACACCGGTGACGCCGGAGATGGAGCGGGTCCGACGGAACCAGGAGAACATCAGCTCGGTACTGAGGGATCTCCACACCCTGTTCCCCTTCCAAACCCAACCCTTTAACTCCTCCATGTCACATCTTGGCTGTGCTGGGACCAGCCTTTCCTTAATCAAACCCCTAAAGCCCTGGCAGCATCCTGATGTTTTCATTTTCCCCTCAATTGAACTCGTGCCGCTGTTCCAAAGGGGGGATTTTCACCTCAAGAATGAAAGCTCTGGAGCCTTCTTTGGCTTCCTAAGGAAATATTCCTTGTGGGAGTGGTGTCACTGTTCCTCAGGAGCAGAATCCACCCTTCCAGCACCTCCAGCCTCCCCCTTGCCAATGGAAAATGGGATCTCAACCCTTCCCAGCTCGCAGGGTCAGGGAATGTTTGGGTTGGAAGTAGTGAGAGGTCTCTGCTGTCCTGAGCTCTTTGTGAGGAGCTGGGTGACATTCCCAGGCCAAAGCCATGGAAGAACACCAGGAACATCCAGTGGAGATGGAAAAATTGCTGCAGGAGTGAATTCCTGCTGGGAATCCCCACTCCTGACACATTGGCTTTGAGGAGCACCGTGCCACCGCTCGGTTGTGAGGTTCTGTTTGAATCTGTGCCCGCTCTGGGGTCCCTTGGCCCCGATCCCAGCAGGAATTCAGTCCTGGCAGAGTTCCTGGGACAGAGCTCCTGGGACAGAGCTCCTGGGACAGAGTTCCTGGGACAGAGCTCCTGGGACAGAGCTCCTGGGACAGAGCTCCTGGGACAGAGTTCCTGGGACAGAGTTCCTGGGACAGAGTTCCTGGGACAGAGCTCCTGGGACAGAGCTCCTGGGACAGAGCTCCTGGGACAGAGTTCCTGGGACAGAGTTCCTGGGACAGAGCTCCTGGGACAGAGCTCCCTACAGCTCCCTGCAGCTCCCTCAGTCCCGAGACAAAGCTGCCACATCCAGAGCTGGAGCAGGGAAAAACCTTTGCCAGGGAATTTCCAGGAGCCTTGGAACATTCCAGCAGCTCTGGCCCCGGTCAGGGAACAGCATCATCACCTGGTTATTTTCCTTGGGGGATTTTTGCTGAGCTTTGACCAAAACAAAACACTTTTTTTTCCCCACTTTGAATTTCACAGTATTAATTTCTCTTCTCCTTTCTACCCTTCCATTTTATTTTATTTTATTTTATTTTATTTTATTTTATTTTATTTTATTTTATTTTATTTTTTTTTTTATTTTATTTTTATTTTTATTTTTAACTTATTTTTATTTTATTTTATTAAAAATATTTTATATTTTATATTTTATTTTATATTTTGTTTTATTTTGGTATTTTATATTTTATTTTAAATTTTATTTTTATTTTTTATTATTTATTATTGATTATTTATTTATTTATAATATTTGATTTTATTATTAATATATTTTATTATATTTTATATTTATTTTTATTTATTTTATTTCGGTATTTTATTTTATATTTTATTTTACTTTATTATATTTTTTATTTTATTTTGATATTTTATATTTTATACCTATTTTATTTTTTTTTATTTTACTTTATTATATTTTATATTGCTTATTTTATTTTGGTATTTTTATTATTTTATTTTAATTTATTTTTATTTTATTTTAATTTTCCACGCTCCTGCTGCCCACAGGTGTTGTACAAGGAGGGGCTGGGGGTTGGCACCCCAGTTCCTGTCACTCCTGAGATGGAGAGGGTCAAACGCAACCAGGAGAATTTTAGCTCGGTATCTTTTTATCATTTCAGAAAAGCTCCCAGTCCTCTGTAACTCTTTAACCCCTGCAAACTTCAAATCCTCTCAAATTAACTTCCAAAAAATCCCCTTTCTGCTCTTATGTTTTCAGGCCCTATATTTTATGTGCTTATTTTTTAAAATATTTTTTCTTCTAATTTAACACTGGATGTTTCATGTGCAGTAATTTTTTTCCCTGAAGTTTAAGCTATTCTGCATTTTTAAACCATTTTTTTCTTAATAACTTGCTGAATTCCCTTCCTATAATACTTTGCTCCTCCACTGGAGCCTGTCCAAGCAGATTATTATTCTCAAGCTTATTATAATCACAATCAATAACTGATTTATGCTCCCTAATTTTTCCTGCTTTCTAGTACATATAGTGGGCATAAAATTCCATTAATTCCCTCCATCAAATGCAGAATTTTTTTTTGTTGTTTTTACCTCTTTTTGACTGCCCTGTTGCCCCACAGGTGTTGTACAAGGAGGAGCTGGGGACAGGAACCCCCACCCCCATCACCCCCGAGATTCAGAGGGTCAAACGCAATCAAGAAAACTTTAGCTCGGTATTTTTGGATTTCAAAAGCCAAAAAAACAAAAAAAAGAAAATCCCTTTTAACCGATTTTCAAATAATCTTAACTCCCAAGTGATTGATTGACACAAGAACATCCCATTCCTTGTGTTCTGCCATTTTTCCTCTGTAATCACTGACTTATTTCAATTAGCTCCATCCCACTAATGAGTTTAGATTCCTTCTTCCCATCTTCTTCCTGCCATATTTTTTTACAATCTGCTTTTCCTTTTATTAATTGCTTCAATCCTTGATTATTTTTTTATTCCCTCTGTTTTTCCCATGTATCAAATCCAAACCATTCCTTGCCTGACCCAAATCCGTGGCTGTGCCCCAGCTCTGATCCCTGAACCTGCTGGGATGGATTTGGGATGGGGAAATCTGCTGGAATTGGTGCCTGGATTCCTCCTGGCTTGGATTTGGTGCTTTTCCCTTGGATTTGGTGCCTTTTCCCTTGGATTTGGTGCCTTTCCCTTTGGATTTGGTGCTTTTCCCTTGGATTTGGTGCCTTTCCCTTTGGATTTGGTGCCTTTCCCTTTGGATTTGGTGCATTTCCTTTGGATTTGGTGCATTTCCTTTGGATTTGGTGCCTTTTCCTTTGGATTTGGTGCATTTCCTTTGGATTTGGTGCTTTTCCCTTTGGATTTGGTGCCTTTCCCTTTGGATTTGGTGCATTTCCTTTGGATTTGGTGCATTTCCCTTTGGATTTGGTGCATTTCCTTTGGATTTGGTGCCTTTCCCTTTGGATTTGGTGCATTTCCTTTGGATTTGGTGCCTTTCCCTTTGGATTTGGTGCATTTCCCTTTGGATTTGGTGCATTTCCCTTTGGATTTGGTGCCTTTCCTCTTGGATTTGGTGCCTTTCCTCTTGGATTTGGTGCATTTTCCTTTAGGAAACGTGGCAGGGGTGCACTGGGGGTGTTGGAATGTGTGGAAAGGTGAGGGAAGTGCCACTAAAAACAGGAAAGCACTAGAAATTATATCTATGTAATATGTAATATCTCTACATAAAATATATGTAAAATATAAAATGATATATTAATTGATTAATAGATATTTTGGATATATAATTATATATCATATATAATAATACTTTATATATAATTTTAATTTTTTTCCCAATAGCCCACCTGAATCCACCCTCCTTCAGCCTCAGCCACATCAGAATTTTCAAGTTCTTTTTATTTCTAGGGATTTTTCAACCCAGGACGTGTCAGAAGCCCCTCTCTGATGCTCTGGGTGCTTCTGGTGCTGCTTTAAATCTGATTTTTGCCCCTTGCCCCACAGGTGTTGTACAAGGAGGAGCTGGGGACAGGAACCCCCACCCCTGTCACCCCCGAGATTGAGAGGGTCAAACGCAACCAGGAGCACATTAGCTCGGTATCTTTGAATTTCAAAAACCAAAAGAAAATCCCTCTTAATGGATTTTAAAATACTTTTTAACCAACAAACCAATATTCTTGTTTCCTTATAATCGACTTACCCAAAAAATAATATCCTGGTCCCTCTCAGAATTTCTTTTTTTCCTTCATAATTATTACTTACATTGTTCTTATTCCCTTTATTTTTAATTACATCATTTTAGTAATTGAATCCCACCTTTTGGAGTGTGATTGCCTTTTTTTTTAAACTCTGTTTTCCTGAATTAGACCCCAAAATCCTTTTTTTTAACTCATAAAATCCCACTCTGTTCTCCTTATTTAGTCCCAAAAATCCTAGTTTTTTAACTCTTAAAACCCACCCTATTTTCCTCATTTAGTTCCAAAAATTCTGGGGTTTTTTTTAACTAAAAACCCACCCTGTTTTCCTTATTTAGTCCCAACAATTTTAATTCTTAAAAATCCGCTCTGTTTTCCTTATTTAGTCTCAATAATCTTTTTTAACTCTTAAAACCCCACTGTGTTTCCTTCATTTAGTCCCAACAATCCTTTTTCTTTTTAACTCTTAAAACCCTGCCCTATTTTCCTTATTTAGTCCCAACAATTCTTTTTTTTAACTCTTAAAACCCTGCCCTATTTTCCTTATTTAGTCCCACCTCGTTTCATTCCATGGAGTGAATTTTCCCGATTTTCCTTATTTTACACTCGAGAACTAAACCTTGCCTGGGTGTGGGATGTGCTGGGCTGCCAGAGGAACCAGAACTGCTTTATTTGTTATTTTTTGATGCTTTCACAGCTTTTTTCCCCCAGTTTTGTGTCCAGGCTCTGAGCAGCGCTCCTGTTTGGGGCAGGATTTGGTGGTTTCTCCTTCCCACGCGGATTTTGGCCATCCCTGATCCCTGTTCTCCCGCAGGTTCTGTACCGGGAGGAGCTGGGCACGGGCACTCCCATCCCTCTCACTCCCGAGCTGGAGCGAGTCAAACGCAACCAGGAGCAGCTCAGCTCGGTATTTGTGGCGAGGAGGAGTTTTCCCTTTAACTCTGCTCTTCCACCTCTCCTTAACCTTCCTTAAAAATCCATAATTCCTCTCCTCATCCCGCCTAATCCACTCCTCAGCGCATCCTCGCGAGCACATCCTCTCTTCCTCGCTGTGCCACTGACCTCCCACCTCTTCACTGGTGGAATTATCCACAGATAGTTACGTTATTCCGAATTATTTACAAACATTTGCGTTATTCGACGTGTTTTTAATCGTTTTGCTCCCTGCTCCAACTTCCTTTGATGTGTGTGGGGTTTTTTTTTTAATATCTAAAATTCTTCTTGCCTTTGTTTTAACCGTGGAAGAGGGGAGGGTGTGACTTCCCAGCTCCCACTTTGTAAATTTTGGGGTGTGATGGGTTTTGGGGTCGCTGATGGGTTTGGACGGTTTCTTGTTGTGCAGGTGTTGTACAAAGAGAGCGTGGGGACAGGGACCCCCACTCCTGTCACCCCCGAGATGGAGAGGGTCAAACGCAACCAGGAGATTTGCAGCTCGGTACTTTTGCCAAGAGCAAAACTTCCCTTTAACTCTTTAAACCCAGAGTTGAAACCTCTTAACTCTTTCGAAGCCCTTTTTAACCGTTTGGAGAAGGATTTGTCCCAAAATAACGCTGCCCTCGGAGCAGGGCTCCCTCCTCACTCGTGGCTTTCTCAGGTTGAAATGTTAACTCGGTTCAGTTGATCTTGGTTTTTAAGAGTGGTTTTAATGTCCTGTTCTAATCCTAAACCTGCTCAAACTCCTCTCCTTTTCTCTGCAGAGTTGCCATTTCTTTAAAGCTGTAGATTAATTGGCTTTTCTTGGCGTGCTCAGCCCCTCCGGTGGGATTTTGTGCTCTTTTGGTGCAGTACTTACCCCATTTATCACCAGCAGCTCGAGCCAGGCTGCCAAACTCCTCCTCTACTAAAACCGTGCCCAGGACCTGCTTTAAAACCAGCTGGGGAACTAAATCCGAGGAAAAAGGAAATGTGTGGGGAGAGCTGTCACTGACTGCGGCTTTCTCTGGCTCCTTTCTCTCGTCCCACAGGTGTTGTATAAGGAAAACATAGGGAAAGCCACCCCCACCCCCGTCACCCCCGAGATGGAGAGAGTCAAACGCAATCAAGAGATCATTAGCTCGGTACTTCCAGCAGGAAAAGTTCCTAAAAACGGGAGTGAAGTGTCTAACCCAGCTGGAGCATCGGCGCCCTGCGCTTATTAACCTGAGCTGACTCTGCCCCAGGCTCTCACACAAACCACCCTGGCTTCTCTTTAACGCTGCCCCAGGCAGGGCTTTACTAGGGAAAAAAAATCCCTTTTGCAAATGGAGTTTGTTGTCCTGATGGAGTTTTTTTAACCCTTTCTTACTCCACCTGTGCTTTGTCACCGACGATTCCAGCCAGGGCCCGTTCCTGCATCCCGGTAAAGCTCCGGTTCCTCCTCCCGTGCCCCAGCCCTAACTCGGTGTAAAAACGCTGTTTGTCTGTTCTGCTTTTTGGTTTGCTTTGGTTTTCTTTTCCTTTCCAATGACATTTGGATACTCCCTTGTATCCTGTAGGTTTTGTACAAGGAAAATGTGGGGAAGGTGACCCCGACCCCCATCACCCCCGAGATGGAGAGAGTCAAACGCAATCAAGAGATCATTAGCTCGGTACCTTCCCAGAAATTTCTGGTTTCCTTTGTGCTTCAACTTAATCAAGTAACAGCCTAACTCCCACTCAGAGCTGGTTTTCATTTAAAAAGAGATTTATTTCATTTTTTTCCCCTGCACATTAATTTCTCCTTCTAAACCCAAATTACTTCGGTGTGAACAGTGTGATCCAGAGTTTTAGTTTATTTCACAACTTGGTTTGTGAATTTGTGGGTTCTATCCAGTCCCAACAGTTTGGATCCCTTGGCGGGGATCAGGGAATGTTTGGGTTGGAAGGGACATTTCATTCCCTTACCTCCCACTAGCCCAGGTTTTCCAGGGATATTCAGGTTTCTCTCTGTGTTTAGTTTTCACCTTTTCATTGGATTTTCAGGCGGATTTGACTTCATTGAAAACCACCCATCCCTGACATCATTATTTGGGGCAGTGTGGCAACAAAACTTCCACCTCCCTCCCAAAAAGATCAGGAATTGCTTCAAATATAGACAAAAAAAATCAGATAAAGCATTTCTTAAACAGCTTTTTAGAGCCAGAGGCACTTCCTGAGCCTCTGGAGCCACCCTGGATAGAGCCCTAACCCCAAATCCCAGATTTCCTCTCCCTGTTCCTCACCCCTCCTGGCAGCACTAAACGTTTGAGGTGTTCAAAGGTAATAATTTGTGTTCCAAGGCGGGTGCTGTGGGGCTGAGCCCAGCTCGCTGTTCTGTGTCCCGCAGGTGTTGTACAAAGAGAACGTGGGGCAGGCGACCCCCACGCCCGTCACTCCCGAGATGGAGCGAGTCAAACGCAACCAGGAGCAGATTAGCTCGGTATTCCCGCAGGGAAACACTTCCCAAAGCTCCCACTGCAGTGCTTAACCCCAGAGGATGTCATAGAGCTCTTCTGCATAACCTCACTCTGCCTGGTCTTATTTAACCCTCTAATTTTTTCTTTTTCAAGTCACCTCTTAAGAACTGTAATTTTAAAGGATTTTTTTTTTTTAATCGTTTTAACTCGTTAATACGATTTTTTCCTGACCTTTTTTTTTTTTTTCCCCATTTCTAATGGCTGGTTTTGAGTGTAAACCCAGTAACATCCCAGTTGTGGAGTTCTGCCCCGGTGACTGAGTTCCTTTGTGGTCTGTAGGTTGCATACAGGGAAGGTTTAGGGAAGGCCACTCCCAGCCCGGTCACTCCGGAGATGGAGAGAGTCAAGCGGAACCAGGAACAAATCAGCTCGGTACTGAAAGCACAGCCTTGTGTCAAAAATAACCATCCTCAGCCAAACTCCACCTAATTCAGCCTTATTTTCCCAGTTTTCCTTATTTTTGCCTATTTTCCCTTTGATCATTTTCTATATATATATATATATATTTATTTTTTTTTAACCTTTTGCCAATAACGTTTCAGCTGCTTTGTTTCCCGAGATCTTTTCCACTCTGCAGGGCTGGGTTTGCTTGAACATTAACCCCACTGCCAGGAAAAGCTGGAATTCTTCCAGTCCAAGCTGGAATTCTTCCAGTCCAAGCTGGAAGTCCTTTGTGCCCTGCAGGTGCTGTACAAGGAGCACATGGCCAAGGGAACTCCGACGCCGCTGACCCCGGAGATGGAGAGAGCCAAACGCAACCAGGAGAACATCAGCTCGGTGCGTGACAAAGAACATTTCATCCCTGAAATCCTCACCCAGAGGGGAGAGCTTTGGAAGGCCATGGAACCACAGGGAATCCTTTAAAACTTTCTGGTTTTCTCTGATGAATTGGGTTGGCTTTGGGGGTTTTTAAACAGTTAAATTTCAAATTACTGCCGCAATACTCTGATGTATAAAATTATCGTTCTTCAGCAAGAGTCGCTTATAAAAAAAATGTATAAAAATCTAGGACTGGCCCTTCTCCAGGCCTTTCTCTGGCAGCCTGGTGCTCCAGAGGTAACTCCTGTCCTCCTCCTCCCCCGGCAGGTTCTTTACTCCGACAGTTTCCGCAAGCAAGTCCAAGGAAAAGCCGCCTACGTCCTGGACACCCCGGAGATGCGGCGCGTGCGGGAGACCCAGAAACACATCTCCACTGTAAGAACACGTCCAGAGGTGCCCTTCCCTCGGGAAAGCAGTTAAATATCAAAATAACCCTGCCTGGCAGCAAGGACAACGTGTCCTACTGGGTTTGGTTACCCAAGTCTTTAATGCTAAAGGAGGTTGGGATTAGGCTCTCCCGGGATTGGGAAACCAAAGTTGAGGAGCTCTCCGTGCTGGAAGTGCCTCCTAGGGGAGCAGGAATCACAGTCCTCTGGAATTGCAGGTGAAGTACCACGAGGACTTTGAGAAGAGCAAAGGGAGCTTCACGCCGGTGGTGACCGACCCCATCACGGAGCGCGTGAAGAAGAACATGCAGGACTTCAGTGACATCAGCTACAGGGGCATCCAGAGGAGGGTGGTGGAGATGGAGCGGAAACGCGTGGACCAGGACCAGGAGAACATCACAGGTCAGGAGAGCTGGGCACATCTGCTACAGGAGGGGTTTAATTTAAGCTCAGCCACATCAATTCCAATTCATCATCACCTGGAGCTGTTCCCATCCAAGTCCTTTCTGGAAACATTCTCTCCCAGCAGCTGTAAATGGCCTGGGACCTGCTGTCCCCACCTCGAGAATGTCACACTGCATTTAATTCTTCTATTTTTGACTTCATCTCTATGGATCAGAGAAGCACCTTGCTGTAGATTGATTGTAGAAAAGCCAAATTTCTGCTATAGAAGTGACAAGCACTAATGTATAAAATAAGGGTCATTTTTCAAAGAGTCCCAGGCTGGTTTGGGGTGGGGACATTAAAGCTCATCCAGTGCCACCCTGCCATGGCCAGGACACTTTCCACTATCCCAGGTTGCTCCAAACCCGTCCAGCCTGGCATTGGACGTTCCAGGGCTGGGGAGGACACAATTCCTGTCCTGCTGTCCAGGCCAGGCTCAGCCTCTCCTCAGGGAATTCCATTTTTCCTGCAGGGCTCCGGGTGTGGAGAACCAACCCCGGCTCCGTCTTCGACTACGACCCCGCCGAGGACAACATCCAGTCCCGGAGCCTGCACATGATCTCAGGTGTGTCCCACAGGCTCCACAGGGATAAAACAGGATTTAAACTCCTGTGAGTGTGGTCTGGGTGCCAGACAGAGCTGAGACACCCCAAGGGACACAGGGGACAGAGGAGAAATCGGCTGTAGCTCCTCACCAGCGTAACTCATGTTCAAAAAATACAGTAATAATCTTCCTACCATAAAATGATCCAACAGAGGCAAGAGGAGGATTATTTCTATGATCCACAGCTGCCATGATACAGCCTGGGCTTCCTTTTGGAACTGATCAACAGGCTGCTCTCAGTGACTTTTTTTGACTCCTGTCTGAGAGGAAAAATACCTGGATGGTAGAAAATCATGGGGTAGAAAAATTCTACCTGGATGGCAGAAAATCAGTGCTGTGTCAGGAAGAAAATCTCAAGATAATTTGAATAAAACTTCTGGAAGCAGCCAGGACTCAGGGAAAGAGGCTGGAGAAAGGATAAAATACTGTGAATACTGAAGATCAGGATTTCAGCATGGAATACTTAAAAAAGCACTGGGAAATCCCACTATGGAACTATAAACCTACACTGGGATCGTGGGAAAGTTGAGCTTAGCAGGGCTGGGTTCTGTGAGGTTTCTGCTCTGGGGTTGGTGACTCTGAGAGCCCCAGGGGTGGCTCTGAGCCCCAGGGTGGTGACTGTCTGTCCCTGCTGTCCCCCAGTCCAGGCCCAGCGCCGCAGCCGGGAGCACTCGCGCTCTGCCAGCGCCCTGAGCATCAGCGGCGCGGCCGATGAGAAATCGGAGCCCTCGGACGGCACCGACCAGCGCCTGTCCTACTACAGCAACGGGGGCTTCTTCACCGCCACAGCCTCAGGTACAGGACACCGCTGGGGACAGACAGGACACTCCTGGGGACAGACAGGGCCCCCAGCTGCTCGTGGGACTGTTCAGCAATTCCCAGAGCCAGGAAAAACCACATCTCCAAAGCGCTGAGTTGTGCACAACGAACAGCTGGAAATGTGCATTTTAAACTGATTGTGACCCCTCCCAGTGGCCATCCCTGATGGATCCTGACCAGCTCCATCCCAATCCCATAATAACCCCACACAATGATCTTTATCCAGCTCCATCCCAATCCCACACAATGATCTTTATCCAGCTCCATCCCAATCCCATAATAACCCCACACAATGATCTTTATCCAGCTCCATCCCAATCCCATAATAACCCCACACAATGATCTTTATCCAGCTCTATCTCAATCCCATAACAACCCCCACTCTCCCCTCCCTCTGCAGTGGGCTACAAGCAGGTGAAGACCATTGAGCTGCCACAGCAACGCTCGTCCTCGGTGGCCACCCAGCAGACCACGGTGTCCTCGGTGCCTTCCCACCCCTCCACTGCTGGGGTGAGTAACCCTGCTGATCCCCAGGGTGGGGACACAGCCCAGGAGGGAACTGAGCACCTGGAGGGGTCACAGCCCATGGGGAACACTAATTAACAGTGTTAATTGGTGACATTCCAGTCCCTGGGGGTGAAGCTCTGGATGAAACCAGTGTGACAGGGTCTTAAGTGGGACAGAGCCTCCCGTGCCTGGAAACTTGGAATTAGCACCTGGAAACCTTGAGTGAGCTCTTCTTCCTACTCAGCACGTGAAAATTTAGGAGTGGGAAGAAGTGTTTTCATTCCGATTGCCTCGGAGTAAAGGACAGTGGGAATGGCATCGCCTCCAAAAACTGCTGGGAGGGAACAACTTCCAAGTTCCATTGGAGCTGATGGTGCCCAGGAGCACCCTGAGGCCACTGCTCAGGCTGTGGCACCAGCACAGCCAGGGCTTGTGGCACTCAGGGACCCAAAGTGCTCAGGGGGGAGAAGAATCCACAGCCAGATCTGAAGAAGCAGCCAGACCCTGCTGTGACCCCAATTCCCAACCCCTGGGGTTTGGCCACGTGCCCCCTGGTCCTGGCAGGAGACATTCAGGGATCGATGTTGGGTTTGGCCATGTCCCTTGTGTCCCTGCAGAAGAGGTTCTGAGCTGGCAGGGTGTGACCATGTCCCTTCTGTCCTTTGTGTCCCTTCAGAAGAGGCTCTGGCCCATGTCAGGGTGTCACCATGTCCCTTGTGTCCCTTCACAAGAGGTTCTGAGCTGGCAGGGTGTGACCATGTCCCTTCTGGCCCATGCCAGGGTGTCACCAGCCCCTCGTGTCCCCTGCAAGGCTGTGACCCTGTCCCTTGTGTCCCTGCAGAAGACGTTCCGGGCCATGTACGACTACACGGCGGCGGACGCGGACGAGGTGTCGTTCAAGGACGGGGACACCATTGTCAACGTGCAGGCCATCGACGAGGGCTGGATGTACGGCACCGTGCAGAGAACCGGCAAGACCGGAATGCTCCCGGCCAACTACGTGGAGGCCGTGTGAGCCCAGCCCGGCCTGGGGCTGCGACACCTCCCCAGGGCCACAGCAGCAACAACTGCAGAACAAAACACACCTGGCAAGATTTGGTGACGTTTTAAAAAGTACCTCTAAGCACATCCTGCCTTTCCCCCGGTGCCAAACACTCCCAAATATCTGGAATTTTAAACATTTCACTACATCACATCTCCAAAATTCCATTATTAAAGACTAACACGCTCATTATATAATTCATTCTCCCACTAAGAATTTTTTCTGGGTTCTAAAATGTTTGAATCACTTCCTTTTCCATTTAAGCTTTGTATTTCAAACCAGTTTATTTGGGGAAGGAAAAGCAACCACCCCTCTCCTCCTGCTTGCTGAGCTCATGAATGCATTCTGCAACTTTTCTGGGGGCAAAAGCTGTGATTTCTTGTAAATTAGTGATGAATAAAGCTGAGGTTTCTGCAGTATGGATGCACTCTGTGGTGCTGGAAAAGGGAATTCATCTCCCAAACTCCACTGGGAAGAGAAGGACTCAGCTCTGGGGTTATTTCACACTTGAACATCGTTTTTTGCTCATCTACTGCAGCACTTGGTAGCAGGCACTGCAGAGGCAAGAAGGGAATAAAAATGCCTGGATACTGAATCTCCCACAGACTCAATCTGAGTTAACAGCAGGGCTTGTAGCACCCCCCTGAGGAATTCCCAGTTCAGAGAGAATTCCCAGCAGAGCCAGCCTGGATGGGAAATGTCCTTCCCCAGGGCAGGAGCCAGGACTGGGATTAAACCCTTTCCATGGGTCAGGAACATCCTACCTCATGGGATGTAAAGCTGACCTCTCCTAAGGAGGCAGATCTGGAAACAAAATAACTCCTCAGAAAAGCAAGAAAAGCCACAGAGCTTCCTCTTGTAGCTCCAGGCTCTTTGTCCTGTCCCTTTTCTCCACCAGACACAAACAAGCCAAACAATACTCAGAGTTTTAGGACCTGCTCCTACCTCACACCAGCACTGATGACTCCCCAAGATCCCTCACAGCCTTGGGAATCCCAATTTGAGGGGAAGCTGAAGAGAGAAAAAAACCCAGAAACCACCAAAGCACAAGGCCACGACCAAGTCTGGGATCTATTTGCTCTTTTATTCACCCATGTAAGTTCTAAAACCACCTGCAGCAGCTCCTTCCAATAAACATCCATCTGGATCGCTACAGAACAATATATACAGATCAGAATTCCACAGGGAAAAACCTGGGAATTCCGGCTGAAGGTCTCCAAGAAGCAGCAATGCAGTCCATGCAATTAAAACTCCATAAATTATTACCCAACATCTGCTGTGAGTCTGTACACAATATACAAAGAGCTCTTGTCCAATCCATCCATTTCCCCATGGAAAAAAAAAACTCTTCCCACAAGGAGAGCTGCTGCCAGCAAAGGCCATGGGGCAAAGCCTGGGAGGCTCTGCAGAGTCTTTCTCCTGTACAAACACCTCTCCTCAGCACTCCTTAGCTTGAGTCGTACAAAAATACGTGGAAAAATAGATCCAGTACAAATCCCAGGCTCCTCCTGGAAGGAATCAAGCCCAGCTCACCCCACACGCGCTGCCAGAGCTACAGCAGCTCCAAAGGAACCAGCTGGGGCAGGAGGGGAGCAGAGCTGGCAGCTGCAGCTCTCACCCTACAGCAAGAGTTTGCAGCAGTTAAGAACACTTTGGATATGAAAAAATAATTTAATTACTCTGTTGGTTTGGTTTTTTTTTTCACAGTCTTTGCTATTGCACAGCTTTGTCAGGTTTTCTTTCACTGTCTGAAAGAAAGATGCATAGCAATCCCATACAAACACCTCTGCCAGGGAGGAAAGAGTCCCACAAATTAAGGGGGGTTAAAAAAATAACAAAAAAATTTTAAAAGGAAAAAAAAAAAAAAAAAATTTATGGAGGTGTCAAAAAATATCCTATAGCACAAAATGCAGATTTAAGGAGTAGCTGAGCAGTAAGGAAAACGAGTGGGGGGAGAAGTGTTGTAGCCAAGTGCTCCTGACCGAGCTGTGGGCTGCAGCTACTCGGGGCCCTCGTGGGGAGGGGAGTGCCAGCGGGCCTGCAGGTTCCTCAGGATGCACGAGGTCATCCCTGCCAGCTTCTCCTGCATCTCAAACAGCTGCCTGCCAGAATAGCCACGGAGATCTTCCGAGCTCAGCTGGGCAGCCAGAGCCTGGATCTGCCCCAGGAGATCCACCGGGGGCTGCTCGCTGGGGCTGGTGGCTGTGTTGACCAGATCTGAAAAGGAGGGGAAAAAGTGCAGAATTCCAGCTGGTTTTGTATAAAATCACATCTTTGAGCAGCCTACGGAGTATTTATTCTGTGGGAAACATCCCCAGCAAAGGCACACCATCCTACCCTTCCTTAGGGCGAGTTTGATCACGACTGTAAAACTAAACCCGAAATAAAAACAAAAGGATGAGGTGTTGCCACCAGGAGAGAATGAAGAGAAGACAGCAGAACTCTCCACATCCAAAGCAAAAAGCCACCAGCAGTTACCTGCTGCAAGTTTTTCCTCATCTCCACTAAGAGATTTCTCCTCCACATCATTGCCAGGTTTTTCAGCATCTTCAGGCACTGTGCTTTCCTCCAATGCTCGAGATTTTACCTGGCCATTTGTTGGGGAGAGAAAACATTTTCAGATTGAAAAAAAAATAATAAAAAATATAAAAATATATATATTTTAGCTTCATAATAAATCAAACCACTTTTCCTGTTAATAATAATAATAATAATAATAATAATAATAATAATAATAATAATAATAATAATAATAATTTAACCAAGTTATCTGTATCTTGAGTCCATGCAGGGCTGGGTTCAG